CTTATTAATTTTGCATTATTAATTATTATTATTGGGCATACTTTTAAATTTTGTGTTAAACATGTGCATACACAGAAAACTAGGATGAAGTTGCATCAGGAACAGGCAAAATATTAAATTTCTGTGTGGAAACATGGGTGCAAAGCATTATTAATGCAGAATGCCTTTTTTTTTTTTTAACTGGAGCACAATTTGTGACAGAGTGCCTCTAATTATACTAGTTTTATTTTGGTAAATGTTTCTCAATAACGAAATTGCTAAATTATGTGCAAGGACGAAAACATCTAGATTTCTTCAAAAAATTAGTTACAAAAAGTAAACCTTCATTTGTCGATTCTGTTAAAAAGTGCTCTTTTCTGCCTTTGTACAAATGGAAGCAATATTACCAGTGCAAAGTTGCAAGCAACTGTGTTTTCTTTTTTAATTCAGAGTTGTGTAGTTTACCTCATGTCCTCTTTTGGATGAAGATTGAACAGGCTTTAATAGCACAGCTAATTATTCAAACAACACTGTGAAGGAAAAAGCAGCTCCCATAGATAATTGTCTAGCTCTTGATGCAGACAAATCAGCAGTAGTCAGGTTGAAGATTGGCAGTGCAGTCTTCTTTCAAAAAGAAATTTGGATTTTCATATTGAGGACTGTACCTGTCACTTGTTAAATTGACATCCAAGAAAAGTGCAGCTTCCTTATCAGCAATCCCTGGGGTTTGATGCAGGAAAACCTATGAAGCTACTGGCTAGGGTCTGTACAGACACAATCTCGGCCACAGATGTATAAAATTTATGAGCGTGGGAGTTCCCTGTTACCCGTGGATTTTCGCAAGATGATCTGTCCTCATTTATTTGAGTAGCCCATAGGGTGAAATGGTGTAGGACCTTTGCATCATCAGGCCTCCAGCGTAGTACTGGCAGGTAGCAATTTCAGACGGCCAGTTAAACTTCCAGGCAAATTGGTCATGCATCACACGTAACACAGAACAGGTAGTGATGACCCCTTGGGCACGGTTCAAAAGTGAGGTTAGAGGATTTTAAGAAGTCTGTAGAACCCAGGCTTGAAGTCCCAGGTGCATAGTAGTGGAATGGAATTAGTTTTGCTAGATTACTACCCCTTGCCTAATATGGGGGTTTTCGGCTGGGACTCTAGTCTGTGTAGTTGCATGAGCACATGTAAAGTTTATTGTTCTCTATCGGCAAGTCTAATTGCTTGATTTCGTACAGTTTTATTCGTCAGCATATATTTTTGGTGTTTGTAGAAGAAAAGAAACTACATTTCATCTTTCGTTCGGATTACTATCTGCAAACCACACCAAACTTTATGCTGCTGCCGTGGTGCAGAAACTGGTGTGCATGTTGGATGAAATCAAGCAACGGTGATATGAATGTGGATGTTATGGTGTTGGTATTCTGTGCTATCTTCAAAAGAGTAAAAAAAGGCTACATAATACTTTAAAAAAAGGAAAATTATGAAACATGTTTGTACATAAGGCTTGACTGAAAGTTATAAAATACCTGAAGTAAATGAAGAGTTAGCTACTATTTCCAATGTTGAAAAAGGTATAAGAACGATGAAGTTATTTCTTTACCTAAGAATAATTTATAATGCTATTAAAAATGCAACACTGTGAAGAAAACGTCTGAGAGGCTTGAAATTTGCATTGTGCATAGACCTCAACAGGATATGTAAATGATTATCATTGTAGGGCAAGCAAGTGCACCAACCTAGAAGCAAAAACTCTCTGTGAGTGTGGGAAGCTTTTGTGTTCTTTGTCAAATAAAATGAAATTCATTCAAGCGAGGTTCTGAACTTGACAGAAGAAAAATTAGAGCTTATAAAGGCAGTGGATTATCCTTCCAAGAAGCTGGTGTTCCTGTTGGATGAAATCAAGTGACAGTGATATGAATATGGAATCAGTGGATGCACGAGGGGCAGTTTAATTGATGAGAACAACTGCACAAGAGTAAGAGCACATTGTGTATGGCAGTGATGAATTGCAGTGCAACACCAAGAACTTTTGCATAAGAATTGAGGTCTGTTGCACTACAGTGTGTGTCAGCGTATATCTTTGGTGTCTCTAGACAGGAAACTTTGCATTGCATCCATTGCTCTGATTACTACTGCAAACCACACCAAGCTTTTGCTGCTGCAGTGGTGCATTGGATGCCAGACATGGATAAGCAAGTGGCATAACATTGTCTTTTGTGAGAGGTCTTGATTTTGTATGCAACACCATGGTGGCTGCATGCGAGTCTTCTGGCATCATAGTGTACGACCCCATGACCCTTGCATGGGTTGCCATTATGGTCTGTCACCTGAAGTTATGGTTTGAGTGAAATTGGATTTTATTAACACAGCTGCAAATACACTACCACCAGTACATCTGTGATGTTTGGAGCATATAGTGCTTCCGTAACTTCAGTTCTTACCTATGGCCCAGCTTCAAAACAATAATGCGTAACTCAACAATTCTTTGTGATCTACCAGGTCACACTGCTACTTTGCCTACCCATTTTCTTTATATGTTGCTTTTTAAACATGTCTCCTTAATGATGGGAAAATAAGTGGCCTAGCATGCAGTTCATGTGACTAGGCCAGATGAAATTTGTATATGTAGTGAAAAACAAATAAACCAATCAAAAACTATATCATCTATAATTGCATAATGGCATGCTTAAAGATGTGATTTTCAAAGATCCTCCAATTGTACAATTAATCAAGCAATAGGTCAGTTCCAAGTAACTGGCAGTATTCTGTATTGATAAGGAGGATGTTAAAGGAAAAGCTGATGCTGTAGAGAAGATTCTTGCACAATTTTAGTGCACAAGCCAAGATGTTAGCTTAGAATTTATGATGCCTAAAATTATTATTTACGAAGTAAATTTTGCGGAAATTAAAGCGTGGTCGCTTTGGAAGAAGACTACTTAGACATAATACTAGGTATTTCATAACCTAGTATGTCCTGTATTTCTGAAAATATGAGTGAGATTGACTTAATCTTCAAACCATTTTTCATCATAAGTTAATGTTGCTAACTCTCATATTTAAATATACTTTATATGATCTGTCTTCCACAGCTGCGGGAGACAGATCTGAATGTTTATTCCCAGCAATTTGGTTCTCATGGATATTCCCAAGCGCAGATTAACGATTTCCTTAATACCACAATAATTCCATAATACTCAAATTCTTGATAAATTAATTTCAGTTGAGATAAACCAGTTACATGGCCACAGAGATCTGTTGACATCATTCCCCTTACTTTCTTCATGAGGCATACTGCAAATGAAAAAAGGAATGCAGAAATATCCTGAGTAATCACCAGATAGGATTATCTGCATACTCATCACCAATGAATTAAAGGTATATTTAGACGGAAGATGAATGGACTTTGGAAAAACAAATAAGACATGTTTATTAATAAGTTTCAAGGTTTGTAATGAAGTAATTTTTTTTTTCTTCTTTTTACATTTAGAGTTAACAACAGTCTATAATTTTACTTCTGTTATCTATCATTGTATGATCTCTATTAATTCCTTAATCTTTTGGAGAGTACCAAAATCAGCAATCATCACTTCCACATTATATGCAGTATTTCATTACAGTAGTATCTGTAAAATCCGACTGTGCTTCCCCCTCTTCCTTGCTTTCTGAAATGGTCAGTGACACCAATGAATGCTAGATGGTAACACTTTTGTAAAAGCGTACTTTTTGCCCCAGAATTTGTAATTATATTATAAGGAATTTTTAGTACATTTTATGCAGATATTGAAGAAATTAAACAACAAAAATACTGGAAAATTCATTTGCAATGACATCAGATTATTAATAACTTCATGGATATTATTTATTCTTGAATTTGCATGTTTTCTGTTTCATAGTGACCTATTTTAGTAAAGATAGGATGTATAAGTTCATGACAAAATATAGCTGAATATTCTAAAGGAACGGATATTTTTGTCAGTGTACTTGTAACAGTCAATTCACTTGAGGTTTGTAAATTTGCATCAATTTTACATGACTGCTTTGATCATTGAAAATTACTCTTTGTTAATTATATTTTCTGAAATATTAGAATTATTATCCAGATTTCTCTCTGACTGAAAACTTTTGTTAGTATCTCTATTGCTTTTTTATAATTCCTTCTTCCAAATATATTTTAGTTTATGAAACTTTCTCTTTTTGTCTCTATTTCAATCCCAAAATTTCAGCTGAAATGGAAATTTGTAGTGCTAGAAATGTATTAGTAAATTCTTCCTCATTATGCAGGTTATTATACAATTCCATTTGCATTCAGTAAAATTAATTAATTTTTACAATTTATATTCGCCTGCAATGCAAAGAACCTTACTCTTTCGCTAGCAAATTTTACATTTTGTTTGTGCACATTTGAGGAAGGTTCCATTTTGCAAGTTTTTCTCTGGGCAGATATTCTTTGCATGCATTAAATTAACATATAATTTCATTCTAACATAACTGTTCTAACATATAATTTCATTTGCAACCTGAATGTTTGGTCTTCAAAGGGTAAAATCAATAATTTGTGGGCACCATGTGTTATGATGATATTCATATTGGACAAATAACTTGGAGAGTCAAAATGGCCAGGTAATGCTCAACCCAGATTCTTAAAGGTTTAATTGACCAATCTAGTTTGAAATTTATAGTAACTTTGAAATTTTTTCTGTTAGATATGTGTTAAAAAATTTGGAATACATATGCCATCATCAATAAAATTAAGCCTTGATATCATGAATTAGAAGGGGAAAATAATGCAAGTTTATAGTGTAGGATGTCTAAAAAGAAAATTTATGAGACTTTATGCTCTACAAAATGCTGTGCTTTAAAATAATTTAAATCTTCATTTTCTGTACTATGTTTCATAGGAACATATGTTATAGGTATGGTAATAAATATTTTTAATTGCATTGGTACTGAAATTTGAAATCATTACAATTTGGAAAATCCAATTTAAATTAACTTACTTCCTATAACAATGTTTTTAGGTTGTGTTCAGAATGGAAGAAATGTGAAAATAAGTTTTTCCAAGCAAAAAAATGAGAAAGTATGTCATTTCCCATCAACATCTGTTACCAGTAAGTAGTACTTTTTTTTTCTATGCCTAATTGTTGAAGTATTTGTTTGACTTTGGGAGCTGTATAATATTGAATGGGGGGAAAAGCACTGCTTGCATGCCTTGACTAATATGTAACATAGTTGCCAACTCTTCTGGTTTTCCATCACTTCTCCTGCTGTCTTCATTTTAAATATTTTAGCCTTTAATTAAAAAAAAAAAAAATGTTTCCCAACAGTAAATGAAATTTGTTGAATTTCTGAAATTCAAATTATGCAAATTCAGTTCCCCCATCCTCATTGATTTACAGCATATTGTTTCTTATTAAATTTTATTTGAACTGATTTGTCTGAGTCTGCTGTAGTTATTTGTGGAAACTTTTATAAAGATTCATCCAATGATTAAGCAGTTAATGTGTGTATAATTTATTTTGTTTAACATCAGTAAATAGTACATTAATATGTATATCCATAAAATAGTATGAACATTAATTATCAATTGTATGTTGATCCTATTTAAAAATACTTCAGGGTTTTCACAATATAAAAGTGTAAGAAAGCTACAAAATGAAATTAGACAAAGAACCTGAAATTTAGAGGATCTTATTAAATCTTTTTACACAGCATCGTATTATAAATAGTTCAGTAAACTGAATCTCATCTTATAAAGTGAATTTTAAGCACCATCTGGATTATTTTGAAATGTCATTGCTGTACGGTGTAAAAGCATGCTATTACTCTCAGTTTTCAGGCAAGGAACCTCCTGAAATTTCATACGTCAAGACTGGCACCTCTGATTATAGTAATTCAGAATATGCATTCAAAAATGATCAATTACGTAGGATCAGTAAAGGAAAAGTATGCTGCTTTTGTATGGTTTGACTAATATGTGGTAGAATTTCTTTGATCTCCTTAACTAATGACCAAGGAATTTTGTGAATTACAAATTACCCTTTTCTAATTATTCTTTGCATTTCACCTTATTGCAACTATATCTTGTATTACAAAATTTTATTTTCCTGAAAAGTTTAAATACTGTTGTCCTAATCCTAAACCCTCATCAAAAGTAATTTTTACTCCCTCATCATCAGTCAGTTATGAAGTAATAGAAGTCTCTTCTTCTAAAACATCCACTCTAAAACATTTTTTTCTTCTTTAAAGTTCAAGGAAATCGGGAATTCTGCTTTTGACATAAACTATTTTGCTGCTTTTGCTTGAGATAACAAAAACTTGAAAGTTTCCAATGTCAATAAAAATGCAGTTGCAAAATTAATGATTACACACTAATTTTTACAAGAAATTCAAGAATTAAATGTTTTAACAAATTTGAAACAAAAAGATATAAAATGCTGGTGTTCACATTCATTTTGTCAATATATGCAACTGCAACACAGTTCATACTTAAAATTAATGTAAATACAAGGGGAAAACATAGCAGACACAAAGCTGTTGTATAAAAATGCAGTGAACCATTTCATATAAACAAAACTGCATAAAGTAATTCATGTAATCTTAAAAAATAAATAAAATACAATGTTTTCAAATACTATAATCAATTAAGATTTCAGTTAAATGATTCACTATACCAGTGATCTGAAACTGGTGGCCAGCAGGCTAAATGCAACCTCAAAATAATTTTACACAGCCCATGCATATATTGTCATTGTAATTTTGTTAATATGGTCCTAATAGTTTTAGAGAGATAGATGTATGGACTGAGCTTATGTGCATGTCTGCTATTGAAGGAAAACTAGTTAGGATAAAGTGGTTAACCTTCATATGTCAGTACAGTAAGTAAATATAGTTTGCCAGCCAACAATTGGTCCCTTCAATATTATGGTATTTCTGGTTTTTTTATTCAGTTGGTACTTTTGAGATGTACTATCCATGAGTCAGTTGCTAGTCGGTTAGCTGGACGCACAGCTGTTCAATTCATATGATTATAAAGATTGAGAGAAGCTGATGTACACTTGTGAAATAAATTAAGAGAATTTGCATATTTTATTGAATTGCATGAAAAGAACTGAACTGAAGGAGAAACCACTGCTCTAGATGAAAATGCAAATCTTGTATGGCAAATACGTAAGCGTACACGTGTGTGTAGGCGAGCCAGCAGAAAAACAGACTTTATAGGTATGTGGAGGGTAAGACGAATTGCGTTTACTAGCACACCACTTCGAATTTCTTGGTGTTATCTTGCAGCAATCAGTTTAATTCACATTGGAACTGTAAAAATGAGTAACCACCAATGTTTAGATGACGGAATGAGGTGGCGAATTGTGGGGAGGCTAGAAGCAAGCAAATCGCAAGTCCAGATATGCAGAGAGTTTCATTTAATGCCCAGCGTCATATGTAACCTATGGAAACAGTTCCAGGATACTGGATCCATCGAGAGAAAGCCTAGGCAAGGTCATCCAAGAGCCACAATGGCCAGAGAAGATCACTATTTATCCATTTTAGCGAGGCATAACAGAGGGGCTACAGCTTCTCAGCGCTCTTGGGACCTGTATGCAGCCACAGGAACCCATGTAACAAGGGTGAATGTTTCCAAAAGATTGAATGAGGGAGGGTTGCTTGCCAGAAGACCGGCTGTTCGCATCCAGCTGATGTCTATGAACAGGAAAGTCAGATTAGCATGGTGCAGGCAGCATAGTGATTGGAGTACAGGTCAATGGGAAACCATTCAGTTCACCAAGTCCTGTTTTAGCCTAAACACCAATTCTGGTCGTACTTTCATATGGAGAGAGGCAGGGACCTGCTACCTACCCTCCAGTGTCCGCAAAATCAACAATTATGGTGGTGTAGTGGTCTGGGCAGGCATTATGTTGGATGACCGCATCTTTGACAGGCTCTGTGACTGGTATGGGGATGAGGTCTTGGAGCCCTATGTTCGCCTTTTTCGGGGTGCAGTGGGACCCGAGTTCATCTTATAGGACGATAATGTGAGGCCACATAGAGCTCTTCTGGTCGACGAATTTCTCGAGAGTGAGGATATTCACTGGATGGATTGGCCAGCCAGGTCTCCAGACCTCAACCCTATACAGCAGGTCTGGAATGCTCTGGGGTGGCAATTGCAACTCACAACCCCCTTCGAGAACCATCCAGGAACTGAAAATAGCATTGCTGAATGAGTGGGACCAGTTGCCACAGGCAATGATAAACTGCCTTATTTCCAGTATGACATGCTGCGAAGCCTGTATGGCAGTAAGAGGGGGCCATACCCCGTATTAAGCCATTTCTTTTGAGTCTTCTGCAACCGCTGTTTCAGACCTTCAGACTCTCATGAGTGTTACACACGAACATGTGTGTCTATTATAACTGTTGAATGTTTATTTTGTTTGTATTATATCAACCTATCTTCACACCAAATTTTATTAAAATCTGTTCTGGAGGTTGTAGATCAAATATGAAAATTCTCTTAATTTGTTTCACAAGTGTATAAAATCAATTCGTATGTGCTTGATGTTAGATCTACACTGTAACAAAACATGATATTCATTATTTGTGTGAATAATTTTTTAATATTGCTTTCATGCGAAAATTAATGTTATTGAAGCGAAGAAACTGCAAGCTATGTCTTTAAAAATGGGTAAAAATTGTATCAAAAAGGGATCTTTTTTAAGATAAATCTAAGACTATACTTTTGGGGTGTGCAATCAAATTGCATGTTTTATTTGTAGTAAGGGAATATCAGTTCCAAAAGAATTATTTACATCACCCTGTTTAAGTAAATAACCTGATTGATTAAATGATGAACATAGTTTATAGCTGCTTTTCTGCAAGGCTGCCAGCTGTAACAGGATGAAAGCATCATTGAATTGTAAGAAATAAAAATATATATATATAATTATTTACCCTCAAAGGTATGTGTTTTTGACTTGTACATAATGAAAAAAATTAATAAACAAGATTGACATAAATTATTTTCAAATTTCATGCTTGATAGTTTTGCAGAAACTACAAATGCTTTCATTATTTGTTTACTTTTAATTTCAGGTTTCAGTGGTTAATTCAAAATATTCAGATTGAAGTAAATGTCTAAAAATATAATGCTTAACCCCTTCGCGCCGACTGTCACCTCTACGTGCCAGCAACGAACACACTCACTTTCCGGCTGACACGCAGGCCTGCCAGAGCATTTTCCCGTTCAGCCCCCGACTGTCACGTATTTGAGCCAGTGTCCTGGAACATTTTAAAAACTATAATTTCTGACACAAGATGGCACTGTATGTCCATATGGTTTCAGATACATGTACATTAGACCTTCTACTCGAAATGAGAGAAGCTTGACTCACATACACGTGTTTTTGATTATATAAACAAGAGGGGAAATAAATGTTTCCGAATGGCGTGATTTATGACGTCTCTTTAAATTCGCACGTGGTAGTTGTTTATTGTAAGTAGAGAAGTTTTATTTTCGCTAAAGCGTTGGGTATTTCGGTTTGGAGTTCAGTTTTTAGAAAATAATTAGATCTTGTTAGACGTGAATTCTTTCTATTTTTACAGTTGCAATGTCGAAGCGTCGAAAATGTTTAACAGAGCATGAAATAGCAGAAATGATGCAAAATATTTCAGATATTGATTCTGATAGTAGGGATAGTGATACTATGATATAGTCTGATCATAAAGAATCTGGCAAATCTAATGATGATGAGGAACTCGGCATACAGATGTCCGAAACGTCCTCATCATCATTAATCCTTAATTAATTAATGTCCTCATCATCAATGTCATTACAAGTGCAAGGAATGTAATGTAGGACTGTGTGTAGATCCCTGTTTTCAAATTTTTCATACGAAAAGAGAATTTTAAGTAATATATTTAGTTTTCAGATGTATAATGTTAAAAGTCATAAAATGGTGAGTAATGAAAATAAAATGTGTAAAATATGCATTTAAACAAGAAATAAGGTAACTATATATAAAAATATCTATAAAGCATAAGCCGTTTAAATACTCTATAGAGCATTATTAAACAATGCGTTGATATTTCGGAAATTTCATGGATTTAGGCTTAATAGCAA